TTTTTTAGGCGATCCGGTCCCATTTCACGATTTTCGAGTCGAACCGGGCGAGTCCGGTTCGACTCGGCGTTTTTTAAAACGCTGCTTGCAACAGTTTCAAAAAGTGGTGGGCAATAGAGAGTCCATACTTTTTTAGTTTGACAACTGGCTTGGAGATTATCCATTGATATACCTTTTACCGGAGGTCTTCTCGAAAGTCTCAAATCCACTAGCATCTGTAAATGAGGTTAGTGAGGGTGATTTTACTAACATTATTTGGTCTATTCATTGTAGGTACAGGAGAGTAACAAATAGTTTTATTGGGGAATATCATACATTACTAAATTTATTGGACAATGTTTACTTAACTCCAAACAAGGAGGACTCTCATATGGGATCTTACTTCATTAGGGGATTTTTCTTTTAAGCCCACATATGACCCATTGTTTTGTGATCGTAATAGGGAGTTGGATCCGAGTCTTCATAACATCAAGAAGCTACATGTACCTTTTAAAGTCTAACTATTCTTATGGATCTTGTGTCAAGATAAATTAGTAACAGTTCATAATTTATGAAAGCGATGATGTATCATTACCGATGTTTGTATCCTATGCAAGGCTAGTGATGAATTAGCCCAACACCTATCTTTATCCTAACCTTTTGCTGCTAATATTTGGGATTAGGTCCGTCAATGCTTCAAGTTGTTCTTACCGGTCCCTCAAAATGTCAGGATGCTACTTAATAAGTGGATCTCTCTAAGTATTGCGAAGGTGGGTATCATCTTTTGGAGGTCTATTTGGGTTAGTCTTCTTTGGTGTGTATGGAAGGAAAGAAATAGAAGAGTGTTTGACAGTGTTAACACTAATTTATCTATGTTGAAATCAAACATTAGTGCGGTGGTAGCATATCAGTTCTCTTCCCATAAAGATGGTGGTTTTATCCCCAAAAGTTTAATCATCAACAACCCTCTGGCAATGGCAACTTTGGGTATTAACACTGATACTCGAAGAGTGGCTGTTTGAGAACGAACCCCTCTGAGTTCGTACAAACTCAATTTTGAAGAAAGTTCTTTTCAGAATCCATGCGCAGCCAGTTTTAGTGGACTCATTAGAAATAATTTGGGTCTTGTTCTTATTCAGGAGGCTCCTGCAGTACTACCAGAGCAAATGAGGTTGAAGCCCGTGGTCTATTGGAAAGATTGAAACTGATAAATTGGAAGGAGGTAAGATTGTAGAAAGAGATTCAGCAAATATTAT